AATTGTCTTTTCTTTCCATGTGAGGTTTTTAGATTGAAATACTATTAGCATTGTTTTAGCTCTACCTGGAAAATTGCTTTAGAGATAGCACATCTGATAACCTGATTTTTTTATTTTTTAAATCTGCCCATCTTGATACTTAACAGATTAACAGTTTTACTTTAGATATGTGTTCTCACAACAAGCTGTATTTTACATGATGGCTAAAATGGGTCCCTATTGAAATGATCTTGTCTTATCTTGGGACGCACATGTATGAATAAATGTTATTGACGACATTACTCAGACATAACACAGCGGGTTATACCAAGGGGATGTTTGTTTGGTTTTTTCTTTAGGAGACCAATAAATAACAGAGGATGTTAAAACAGTCCCATTGAGACAGCCCCAGATGTTATTGTCTTGAATGGACACCTATTTATATTGAGAGCTTGGTTTACTGTGACGGTACCAAAAAAAAAACAACAGCACACCGGAGATTGCTCTGCAATTTGCTCTCTATATAAGAAAATGATGGCAATGATTGCAAGTTATCTCCTTCTGTTATACAATCAAAACTTATTTCCCTTAAACCACCACATAAACAAAAAAGCAGTCTTGTGCTTGCATTGAAGATCTTTTCTAATTCTTGTATAAACCTTAGCCTTATGTAAATTGTTTACTTCAGATAAAAACAATACGGCTCATGGTGTGTTGCAGCCTCTGTCTGAATCATCTGGAAAGATAATTGTTTCATACCCAGAGGGAAGCGAACTGAGTACTATACTCTCCACAGACAGCATATGTTAAGTGGATCCAAATAACTCACAATCACACACACTAGTGCGTGCACAAGCAGTTTCTGCGTTTAACAAGAGATCAGACAGCACTGTTCAGTTTCTTAGTGGTTGAATTCATTTCAAATGCTGGAAATTGAGTGATAAATGGACATGCCATTAATGTTTTTCAAGATTTTCTTTCAGTTTATCATATTTACACATAAAGATCATGTATCTGTCAAAGCTAATTCATTTACATCAATGACCATAAGATGGCTTCCAAGATTTCCAATTATAATGAATGGTGTCATACAAAATAGTATCAGAAATAAAAACAAACTGTAAGTGAAAAACGAACAAATAAAAAACCATAAGTCTTTATTTTCAATATAATACACACATACACTAGTGCTTACACAGGTGGTCTCTGCATTTAACAAGAGACCAGAATGCACAGTTTAGTTTCTTAATGTTTGATTTAATTTCAAATGGTGTAAATTGAGTGATAAATGGACATGCCATAAATGTTTTTCAAGATTTTCTTTCAGTTTATCATACTTACACATAAAGATCATGTATCTGTCAAAGCTAATACATTTACAACAATGACCATAAGATGGCTTCCAAGATTTCCAGTTATAATGAATGGTGTCATACAAAAGAGTATCAGAAATAAATACAAATTGTAAGTAAAAAATTAACATATAAATAGAAAGCTTTAAGCCTTTATTTTTAATAAAATATAATTTTATTCAAATATTCATTTGGATCTTGTTGGCCCTCCTGGTAAGATGTTCCTGGATCCTCTAAAGCTCTTTTCTCTCCAGCTCACTGCACTAGATTTTTTTCGAATTGAAGTTTGGGTACTGAGTTGGCCTTAGGAGAAAGTTGATCCCAAGGAAGCTATTTCTATCAGATCAAACACAGCTGGAATAAATTTTTCTGTAGAATTGAAATTTTACAATCCTATTAAAGAATTTGAAATTTGATGCCTTCTAAAAAGGCCTTTGATAAAGAAAAAGCCCCATAGCATCACAGATCCTCTACCGTCCTTAACAGAGGATACAAGCTGCTTTTTTCAGGTATTCATCCATGTCTTCAGGTCAAAAATTGGCTGGATAGTTGCTTAAACATTTACTCATAGTCAGAATAATCAACAAACAGGATCCCAGTTAAAGGTTTGGGTTTGTGAGCTCCTTTCCACTTGGTTCCCATTGCTTGCTAAAAAAAACAACCCATACATATAACTTATTTTTGATGGATTTTTGGATATTAAAATAAGTGAATAGAGGCAAATACTTCAATGCGAGATTAAAATAACTAAAGGAGGCTGCATGCTTATCTTTACACCATTTATACCAAGGCAGGCGGAAATAGTGGTTGTTTTGTCCTTTTGTGTTTTTTTTTTTTTTATGACAGGATATAAAAAATAAACATGGATATTTAGAAATGCTACCATCCACAGGCGCAACTTTCTGAAGGACTGGTGATGACACGTCCCAACCACCTATATGTCCCCAACAATAATTTCAATACATAGACTTTGGCTCTCAACAATATGTGGGACAAATTTTTAAATTTGATTTTGCTGATGAAAGAGGATAATCACAAATGTATCTGAAAGGGGGAAAAATCCATCAATCAGTCCACATTTTCTGGATGGATTGATGAATGAATGAATGAATGAATGAATGAATGAATGAATGAAACAGAAATTGTGTACATAGTAGGGAGGAATGCTATATTGCTGTTGGCATTGGAATAGGCTGTTATTCATCCCTTTTTTATAAAAATTCATGTCTAACTACCTATTAATATAAATACCAGTGTATTTTGGTTCCTTTGTGTTCTCAACAATAGGAAAGCATTGAATGTATATATATATATATATATATATATATATATATATATATATATATATATATATATATATATATATATATATATATACAGTGAAGAAGAAGTATATGATCCCTTGCTGACTTTCTTCGTTTGCCCACTAATAAAGATGTGATCATTCTGCACGTTTAATG